CTTTTCACAAATTTATTTCCATAATAATATTACTTCACCCAGGAACACTGTTAAGTAATTATGGGTGAAAAATTAGGAGAGTGGTGGTGGTGATTGCCTTTAATCCCAGCATTTGGGAGTCAGAAGCCGGTGAATCCCTGTGTGTTTGAGGCCAGGCTGGTCTACAAAGTGAGTTCCAGGACAAGGTACAAAAGCAACTTAGAGAAAATCTGTCTTGAAAAATAAAATACATAAATAAATTTAAAAAAGAAGAAGGAGGAGGAGGAGGGAAGGAAGGAAGGAAGGAAGGAAAAAAGGAAGGAAGGAAGGAAGGAAGGAAGAAAGAAAGAAAGAAAGGGAGGAAGGAAGGAAGGAAGAAAAAAAGAAAGAAAGGAAGAAAGAAAGAAAGAAAGAAAGAAAGAAAGAAAGAAAGAAAGAAAGAAAGAAAGAAAAAAGGAAAATGAGAACAATGTGGAATTCTTTAAAATATGTGAGCTCCCAAGAACCCTCTAATACCTTAAGATTTTAGTGAAAACACTGAACTGCATCCTTTAATATCATTGTTGTTCTTGGCAATTTAACATATATCAATGGTTACAAAATGCCCTCATATTTAAGGCTGATTTGCAAAACAGGATTTATTAATTTATTATAAGTGGAATTCATGGAACTCTCTCTGGAAGTAGCATTGACTACATAGTAATCCGCACACATACTCAGTTTATCTATGTTTTATACATGCATTGCATAGTAATTATTCAGACACTCCTTTAATACTAGACTAATTTTTTTGTCTTTTTCTTGCACCAAGGTAAGGTTTTTACTAGAATCAGTGTGGTCTGACATGCATATCTCTGTGCAGAAATGTAGATTACCCAGAAACTCCATGGTGTTGCTTAAATTTCCATTTTCAAATTTCAGTTTCTACAACCTATGCATATTTTTCAATAGGATTCTAATTAACCCTGATTCCTCTCTTAGAAGGAAAGTCCTAATTTTAAAAGTCCTAAACAGGATTAAAGAGAAACTAATCCTAAACTGAAGAAGATGCAATGATCTTCTTTGAATAGGAAATTCTGCAGCATAACCACCTCCTTCATAAATGAATGAACCTCTCACCACCACAATCCTGACATGTATGTAAACATTCTGCAGAAAGAAACCAGAATGGAACCCAGAATAGGAGGAAGTAAAGAAAACTGGGGGTAGAATTAAATATAATCAGTTTAGAGAAATAGACAGAAGCATAATGATGACAAATTATACAAATCATGTGCTTCTCCTTATTCACAGTGAGCATCACAAATTACAACTATGTTAATTTCCCTGAATTTTCTCAATTTTTTTGGTAACTTCATGTAGACTAATAGCTTCCTACAAGATAAATCTGGTATGTGAATTGCATGGTTCTTAGATATATGGTACTATCTAGTCTTTGACTGTACTCTATCAATTACACACCTGTAGAAGGCAGATGAGACTCACTGAGATTATGTATAGAATGTGCCTGGGCAGTGAAAAGATACCTTCTTTAACCATGCTTTTACCAGCAGATTCTATGATAAAGATTTTAAATTTAAGATCCAGGAGAATATATGTCTGTTTCAATTTGACTGGCTGTGTTGTCCTAAAACAGACATGTTTTCATTCATGGACATAAGTCAGGGAAATACTCTGAGAGCATGACAAACATTTGCTCCACTAGGCTTGTGTTAAATGCTGCCTCTTTTCTCCTAATAAACTGGGATCTCTACCTTGGTCAAAGTGCAAATAGAAGAAATTTCTAAGTCAGGAATAATCTATTCCTAATAACTCTTTTCTCCCCCTTTCCTTTAAGTTTCTCTTTACTGTTGGCTCTAGTTATTACTGCTCTGAG